GCTCTGTGTACAAAACAAGCAGGTAAAGGACATACTGTGACATTACAGTAACGGTTCAGTAGATGCCTGGAAAATATGAGAGAAAATGTTTGCATCCTCTGATCACTCATTTCCTATGGCATGGTTATGTATGAAATCAAATAGGCTACTTAGCTTGAAGCATGATTTGCTTTTATTTCCAGCATGACCTGAAGATACCAAAAGAAGGTCAGGAATTCCTGAATTTTGTTTTCTTGCCTGTGGCTGGCTGGTTTAAAATATACTTTGGAATTATCTGACAACCAGGATTTAGTTATGCCTTGCAGCACCTGCTAAGTGGAAGGAAAATCTCCAATGCTTATTGAAAATGGCATGGAGAACAACATCTTTCCTTGAATGTCTCGGGGAACAGGGATCTCTCATGGGAATTCGGGCACCATTTGCCCCAAAAAGCAAGCGATCTTCAAAAGCAGACCTGTCAGAAGGCACCCCCGACAACTGCAGGCACTCCTGTGCTACCAGAGATGTGGGCTGAGTCATCATGCTGAATTGCTAAGTAACCACTTTCCCAGAGCTTGGAAACCCATAGCTCCCAGACATCCTCATCTCTCTGTCGTTGATGTGATGTGAAACAGGGCTCTCGCATGATGGCTCACTTTCTAATCTGATAGATGCTTCAGGCCCTGTAATTTTTTAAACTGTGTCTATCACACAAGGAAAGATGCAATTTTCTGCATGATATGCATTTTTCACTGGTGCGTGATTTGTAGTGAGATGTCTGAAAGACTTGCCTGCTGACAGCGATAACTTGATGACTCGTCTTGTGGATTTTGTAAGGCAACAATTTTTTCCTGGGAAAAATAAAATAAAAATTCCTCCATTTTATCATTCACTGACAGATATATTGTTATTGTAAAGCCTTTATACTCCCACCAGTACGCACTTAAGAACATACTACATGCTGCGGTTAAATCAGTCAATGCAAATGCACTATATTTGTCACCACCTACCTCATCCTTTCTTCCTTAGCCTTCTCTGGAACAATTTGTCCTCTTTCATGCAAAACTGCCCATCATTCCAAGACATCTTTTGCCCAGAACCAAGCTTAATGGCAAGCTAAACTATACAGGCAAGATGGCTACATTAAGTGCACTGGTGCTCCAACTCAGTAACCTGAGTAATCTGTCATGAGCAAGTAATCTATCTTGGACTATGTGAATGGGGAGCATCTTTTATTTAATGGGCTTTGTGCCTTGTAAATTCCGACATAACCAGAGGTAAAGACAGAATACTACTTTTTACAAGTGGAGTCTTTAGCCGCATGATGCAGGCTTAATGATTAATTAGCTAGGGTTCTCAACAACAGTGCTATGTGGCAGCACCTTGTAATGTATGTTGTATATCCACTCTTTGGCCATTTGTAATGTGATATCCTTTTTACCAGAAAGCTAAATTTTCTATTTCAGACATCCCTTTTATTCCCTATCACCTCCATGGGGCTGTGACCCACCATGAAGAGTATCTTCCAGACTAGGACATCATCATGTTTTTTGCTCTGTCTTTTCAGTTCTAAAGATTATTTTCCCTCTTCAGAATTTTATAATCAATGATGTGACTTGTTGACTTTGTTCTCATTTCATGAAAAATATTTCCTCTCCAGAAATTTCATCCTCTGGAAAAGTAAAAAAATTGACAGAGTGAGATGAAAAACTTCCAAAAACAGGGACTCATTTTCTGATATCTCTGATATGAGGCAACGAATTTATCTGTTCAGACCCCTTCTTCTAGATCATTATGAGTTCACATTTCCAGCATATCTCAGAAGCCGCCTTTGTATTCAAAGCCACTGAACAACAGAGTCACCTCCATTGGAAATGTCAGCTACCAGGAAGATTTCTGTTGCTTCTTACTGCGACTTTTGGGAGCACAATTGTGAGGAGAGCTGGTTAGGTGCCAGCAGGCAGTTTAGGTTGCCACCTTGAAAGCAAACGTCCCTCAGAGCAAAGAATAACCTCTAGAGTGTGGTAAAGCTCAGAAGGTGAAAGGCATCTCTAAAGGGAATGGTGCCAGGGAAGCTATTTCATTCTCATTTGGATTCCTGAACGACTGAAGAAATAGCACAGAAAATTTAAGTCTTTATTTTAAATGTCCTCCTTTCTGAGGGCTCTTACTAAATGCCTACGCCACATTTTATGCTTTTTTTGGTAATAATATACAGTGCAAAATTCTATAACATGATGAACGTGGATAGGAAATGCGATATTTGGTAGCAATTCGGGGTTTGTTGATGACTTGATTTTTTGCAGAGTTAGCATAGTGAAAAGGGATTTTGAAATGCACTGTGTCATCCAGGTTGCATCCATTGCTCTTTCATATTAAACTGCTATGAAACTTCCCAGCATATATTTGTCAGCAAAGCGGCCAGATTCTTTGAAGAAGACAAGCAGCAAGGATTTCTTTTATAACGGGCTTAATCTGTATTTCAACTCTATTAAACAAGTTAAGAGAGACTGTTAGTATCCTCTTATTCATTTCTATTTATTTGCAAAAACAGCCATGCTATCACTTGCCCTCAAATCCTGTTATATTGACAAACAGGATGAAATGTGTGATGTTCGTTTTGCTCAAGGGCATCTCTTAGACATGTAATCTAACTTCCTTATTGATTGACACTAGCCAATATATACTCAGAAGCCTAGTGATTGTCTCCCTCTGTCTGTAACAGATCATTTTCACAGAGTATTCTACTTACTGTCAAAAACAGTAGGGGAACAGGGATTTTGGTGCTTGAAATTTATCTTCTCATTTAAAACATGTATTTTATTGTAGTGAAGGGAGCAGAAGTAGCATTCACTAGGCAAAATAAGTGTGGACTAAGTGGCCTTCAGTGGAAATACATTTGTGTTTTCTAAAATACTCAAAGTGTGTTAATCAAAAAGGTTGAGTTTTTCATCATAAAAGAGGCGTGTGTCAGAAGTTCTGAAAGATGGTGAGAAAGAAAAAGCTCAGGTTCTCAGGGAGGTTTTAAGAAAACCAGGTCAGTAATTTTCAAAGAAGGAGCACACCTTTCTGAAATACTTCAGGGAAACTCAACGATAAAAATGATTTCTGGCTGGATTAATTTAACAACAGACAGAAGAGGCTTCTCAGGCTGATAAATTTTGAATATGGTATCCAAAACCTACCCAGAAACCTCAAAAATCTTTTCTACCATAGTGCCAGACTTGTCTGCAGTGAATAATGACATCTTATTAAAAACTTGTTAATTGGCATGACACTAAATGCAAGTTAGTGCAAGTCTATTACACTCTAACTTCTGCCGGTGTACTATCTTGAAGTTTTCACAGTAACTGTGTTACTAAATAATTTGAATACACTGATACACTGAATCTATTGAAAAGGCAATGATTGTGAATGCTAATATAATGAGCACGTCCTCATAGTCCTACAAAACACATAACAGTAGTAAGTGCTAATGCAAACTTAACTGCATCAAAACATGCTTGTGGGTAGATTTTAAGCAATCACAGTGTAGAAATACAGACGGTTTCGCAGTAAGGACACTCTTCTTGCTCAGCTTAATCCAGAGAGGAGAAAACCATCTGAAATCAATTTTTCATACATGAAAAAAGCTATGTTATGCTACATTATGCTATATATTATGCTACATTATGCTATAACTTATCCCTTCTCATTTTAACCTGCTAAAAAACATCAGCCATTGATTTTATGGCTTCTAAAGAGAGTCTTACTTTTGGACAGTGGAAGAGAATTTATATCAAGTCATGAAGTCATCATGTGTCCAGATATTAAAAAGCTGATCTAATCACAAGCAGTTCTTAGTAATGGTCAAGAACACCATGACACATGAATGCATATCTATACATGAATGCAATCCTATTGTTGAAGCCGAGTCCTTCGGGAGCAACCTGCACCAATTAATGGAGGCGTTTGTACAAATACTTTTAGCCAGCCTGTCCTCACAGGAGTGTTTTAACACGTCTAAGAAAATTACTCTGGGGCTTTGTGTAAAACAGCACAAAGGAAGAAAAAAGGATCCTGCAGCCAAGCTTACTGTTTTGCTTTCAGGGAAAAAAAGACATTTCACAAACCTGATAGTAGCCTAAATGCTTTTACAGATTAGGTGAGGGGGCGGGAATATGAAGGAGATACACAGACTAGTTCATCAGAGTTACTGCCCTGATTTTGGAAGAGCGCTCAGGAGATCACAGCAGGGTGTCCTAGGATGCTCTTTGCAGAAAGACTGAAGCTGCGTTAGTGAGGTTTTTTGAAATCTGAAATGCCATATACTTTAAGTACCTCAAGACACAACCTTTAGTCTTCAAAAGGAAAACAGGGGGTTCAATTTCCAACCAGTTGTGCAGCTCCCCTCTTATTGCCAAATACAGCCCCAAACTGACTACTAGAGCAATGTAAAACATCCCATTGACAGTGGGAGGACGCATGTGTCAAGGTGCACAACTGTCTTTCCTCACTGAAAAGAAAAACTTCGGATTCACTTCTGATTTTCCAATATACAGACAATAGTTAAAGGGGGCTTACTTATGCCTTTCTTGAGTTAAGTACACACCACCTTTTGCAATTTATGATTACATATCTGGGCTTGTTTTTATTTATGAATAGCTGGAAATAGATGCATAATTTTTCAACATGATTATACACTCTTTAAAGCAGGGAACTGACCCTGTTAGGTATCGTCAAGCAGTAAGTAAACTTATAAACTGTGTAATCTCTCCTTTGAATTACCTGTTTTTCCTTGTACAGAGAAATGTGCCATGCTGTTATTCAAAGCTATTCACAAGGTTTTATACTTTGTTTCTCATGCACTGGTGTACGTTGAATTTACCATGGCAGTTAGAAAAGACTTGCTCCAAAATCCAATTAAAAAAAAGGGAAAACTTTATTCACAGTCCTCATAGTTGCAGTAACAACTTTGAAAATGTGAAGCAGACAGTGCAAACAATTTCTAGTGATTTTGAAGACCTCTTAAAACAACAGCACTAGGTAGTATGAATTACTGCATACTTCTTAAGGGAGTGTTAACTCTAACCCCTAAAGACAAGCTCTAGGGACATCAAAAAAACAAATGAAACATACTCCTAAAAATAAAAATGTAAATAATAGAAAGTGTGATTTGAGCCATACTACTCATGTTTGCTATTCAAAGCGAGTGGTAACTGCAAGCTTGCTTTTCACTGACAGCCTCCCTTCCAAATTTCCAAGCTGGTGCTGGCTGCTCAAATACCTCTCTTTTGCTGGGTAATTTAAACAACTTTTAGCAAAGGGATTTTCAAATACTCTTTTGCTCTTTAAAAAGGCTCACCTGCACTCTAGGATCCTTCCGGAACGCATTCAGTTTCTGCCAAAAGGGCAGTCGCACAGGTTTCAAGCAGCATTTAAATCCGAGTTAAGCAATCCACAGACTGCAGAGAGCCCTTTTCCAAGGGCAAATCGTGTGAAAAAGGTGATTTATTTTGTTCTGCTTTACTGAAACCAGAGACATGCCCAAATCAGAGGTATTTAAAACATTTATTAGCGTTAATCATTGTAGGTTAAATAAAACACAAAAACTACATTTTAGGCCAAAAAATATTATTAGGTATGATACAATTAATATGTAAAACAGAAGGTAAAGTATTAACAGATTGCAGCATCCCATACATGAAGCGAGTGGGTCCAGCCCAGTCAAAGCCCTTACATAAAACAAAACAGAGGAAGAGTACTTAGCATGTGTCACTTTATGCTGACAATTTATCACTGACTCTGGTTTAAATAATTAAGGTTAGGATAATGAAATAGATCGTCATTGTACTGAAAAGGTCTGATTATGGGTCAGAATGCTCTCATGTACAATCTATCTGGTAATGCTAATTACCACGTACAATGAAGGAGTATTGAAGACAAGGGATGAAAGGTGACTTCTCTAGTAATTAATAGAGACCCAGACTATGCTGAAGCACTTCAGATAGAACAGCTGTACCATAAACAAAAACAATCACTTTTTTTTTCCTTTTTTGGAGTGTAACTAATACTTCGGAGTCCCAGTTTTTGGATAATAATGGCCTTTTTCATATTTCTCAGTCTGCAAGACAAACGCTTTCTGTCATATGCCATTTTCATGCATAAGAATGGCAAGTCAACAATTGTACCTATGTGCATCTCCATCTTATTGCTACCTTCAACCTGTAGACCTGTAGCTTTAAGTTCATCAAGATGAAATGATCATTAACCAAAAATCTACTTACAGTATACAATATGGAATATATGTGAACCAGACATAGTGAAAAAACACTACATGTCAGCATAACAATATAAAACTATACTTATATACACAAACATATGCAGAGCATATATGAAAACTAGTTCCTTCTTATTTTTTTAAAGTAACTAGTTCATGACAAGCCAGAAAAGCCAGTCACCCACAACTGGACTGTCACAGTCTTGAGTGATGGTGCAAACAGACTCCACCAAACATACTTGGCACTGCAGCTTGTATTTCAGTCCTGTCACCAGCTCTCTTGAGAAAACCCATCTTTGACAAGTCCAGCAAGAGCTGCCCAGTGTAGAAATGCATCACTATTATTAGAGCAGATCAGCTATGGAGTCAAGTGCTCCCGTACAGTAACTTCATTCTTAACCAGCCACTAACTACTAAGAGGAACAATGGCTGCTACTGAAACTTTTGCCTTCAAGTCCATTTTTTCGTATGTCATTTTTCCAACTATTTATGAAGGGTGGCAGTACTTTCCAAGCAACAAAAGGAAGCTGAAATCATGAATTTTATTTTTGAAAAGCATAATTTCTAAAACAAACCATTCCCCATTTGAAAAGGCAGATTGACACACAGTGGATAGGCAGCACCATAGTCACAGGCTAGCCCTGTCTACAAAGCAAATGCAAGTTACTCTGCACATCACAGTGGCCTATTATTCTTTCACCTGTAACTTCAGAGGTAAAAAATTTCAAATTTCAAAACTTTATTCAGTCAAAATACTTATTAATTAAAAACTTTTCCTGGACTAAAACTAGAATTTGGTGATTTAGATTTGGCCTAACTAACGTAAGAATATCTTTAAGCCTACTTTGCTAGCATTTGAATTTTAAAATTTGCAAGAGAACCATTGTGACAATTTCCAATTTAAAGCTGTTTAGCATATAACTCATAAATCTGTTCTGCTCCACATACAGCTCAACAGCAGCTGTGAGAGTTGGTTGTTTAGGGCAGTAATTAGTCCATACAGATTGGCATCTATTGCCGATTCTAACATGAGTTGTATTACGAAGCTTTCACACATCTCAAGTAGAGGTTAATGTGTTTTTGGATGCCACGTTAAAAAAAAAAAAAAGTATGCCAAACTTCGGGTTATGAAAACAACTTAAACATCAGTTATGTGCAACTAATGTGTATTGAATGAAAATTTCTAATACCTTTAAAAATGCTGGTTCAGGCTCACCTTGTTTTCTTGGAAGCTGGGGCAGCCTTTTGCTGGTATTTATTTAGGAAGAACAAGACTTCTCGCAGCACAGGTCCCATAAATTTTATGCATCTGTGCTGTTGATCAGTTTGATATTTCTTGAGTGCTGAAGGTCAGACTAACCTCATCTGCATTACTGTAGTTGCCTGGGCTCCCTCAATAGGCAGCAGAAAGCAACAGGCACCCCTGGCAGACTCCCTTATAAACTAGGATGAGATGAAACGTTCCCTAAAAGAGCCTGTCTGCTCCCTCCCCGCACTATCAACAAAGGCTAAGATGACTGCTGAATTGTCACTTGAGGAACCCTGGATTATCTCTAAAATGCTTTCTCCAACTAAGCAGTGGTGCAGATCATAGATCAGCACAGGTAACAAAACTGAAAGTTTACCTTAGACCCCATTTCTTCTGCTTGTTCCCTGTATCTGATTCTGTATGTATTATCCAAGGACATATTCTCATGCATGAGTACTTTCCAAAGAGTCCAAAATATCTAAGACACGGATTGTATGTGAAAAAATACTGTTGTTTAGATTCTTAGATAAAGTCAGATGGGATATTTCCCACATGTAAATGGCCCTCTGAAGACAAGGAAACGTTCCCGCAGATTTCAGCTGGCTCTGGTTCAGGCACTAATAGCCAGTTCCATTTTATCAAAGTAATCTCACAACAAAGCAATCAAGTCTGTTTTCGTGTATAAACATGGATGCCCACCTCTAGCCTGCCTGCACCTGATTTAAAGTGTAAAGTTATTTTTCTCTTTTGTTTGCTTTTGATACAAGTCCCCCATCAAATGTACAATAAGGTTAATTTTCCTAAAAGAAAACAAATTAATATTGTAGAATGCAGGCTGGTTCTGAAGTCTGCACTTCTTACCCTGCTTCAGATTTCCAATGGAATTAATGAAAAAGAGAAATTTGTAATTTATCATCTCAGTCACACACATTCAGAAAAGATAGAGGTGCAGAACACATACCATTTTACATTATTGCTAGTTCATAACCACCATTTTTTTCTTCTACACTGTATTTTCAAGTGATTCAAGCTTTAAAGGTACTGGAAAAGGGTCTGCCAGACCACATCCCAACATCTGTGAAGAGACTATTCTGCATGTGAACCAACTGCATTTTAAAGAAACATTCCGTTTCATTTTGTTAGATTCCAGCCTGTAACCTCAAATTATATCATGCTCTCTTAAGCCATTTTTGCACAAAAGTATTGCTCTTCCATCAACCTCCCTGACACTTCCTGGAAACCTACAGTGAGACAAGGATGGTGTCCTCTCGACTCACTGTGGCGGTGTGGCTCTCTGTCTTACAAAGGAAGCGCTATCTTTGAGCGGAGAACTGTAGTCTAGGGGACAGGTTTGGAGGAAACCTCAAAAATAACCAAGATTAGGCTGGCATTTATGTTCTTACAATTCTAGTAATTAGTAAAGCCTCAGCCTTGGAAAGGAAGTACATTTGGACAAAATGCAATGGCTGGAACTTCAGGTCCTTCTGGGACAGACAGGGAACTGCATGGCGTTCAGCCATCTCCTTTATGACAACTCCTTCTTTTATATGCTCAACATCTCCTGGCCCAGATTTTGACTTACAGCCTGTAAAAACTGCACTCATTTGGATCCATATTTCTAATTAGTAAATTCAGTCCATTTCTTGCTGATGTTTACTGATATCATGAGATGAAGCTACAGGTTTAGAAAAACACAGAAGCAGAGTCCAGCTAGAAAAATGGCAGAGAAACTGCAAGACAAAATTCAGGTTTTATGGTTTTTTTTTTTTTTTTTTTACACACTATTACACAGAAAACTGTAAAAAAAATGCCAAATCCACTCTGCAATGTAAGAAGAGAATATTTTCTAGCAAATCTAAAATTGTTTATGTATAAAAGGTTCTTTTTATTTAAAAAAATCAGTCATTGGCTTAAACAGAGAATCAGAGTACTTTGCCACTGTAATTTTGATAGGATATTAGAGGATTTTCCAACTGGGTTTTGCAAAATCCCTTTGAAGTAAAGCTTTTTGCTTCTGGTCCTTGCATTATTACTCATTGGGAGTGTTGATATTACTGCTGTCAAGATAAGGAGCCACATCACTGAGATCACGAAGTCCTTTCTCAGTGAAAAAGCAAAGGGTGCTGTTTTTCAAGTAAATCAAAAGAGATCAAGTTGGGTCAGCAGCACCGCCTACCCGTCTGTGAAGTCTGCTTTCCAAGTTTGATTGCTCCATTGTTACCATTTTCATGAGGGTCTAAGGGTGGAATTTGCCGACCTGAAAGACATGAGGAGACAGTGAATTACATTTTCCCGATGTAGCCACAACACAGGCAGATACTAGTTAGGATGATTTAGCTTGCGTAAGAATTACATCTGAGATTTCACCAGAAATGACCGTCTTCTGTGTACCTTGAATCCTCTTCCTTGCATCCTGTTTATAAGAGAAGAATGTTTTCACAGCTTAAAAAAAATTCATCAGATATGCCCACTCAGAAAGCACTAAATATACGTATAACCTAATTTCAGTGTATTTCAAAAACAATTATCTTACTGAGAGCCCTTACAACAAAGAAACAGAAATTTCTCAGCTTTCTCCTAATTTCACTTAAATGTGTGAGTGGTGCTAGTTTAATTAAAGATCTCGACTCTGTTAAATCTCAAAGGCATTTACTTCTTGTACACTGGAGCTTTACAAAACACTGGAACTAAACACACGCTGCCCACGCTTGGAATAGAAAAACAAATCCGTTCTTTTCATTGAATCCCTCTCTGCTTTTGCTTGTACCTGTGTCTTCCCATCTGACAGCTTTGATTACTTGAAAAAACAAAAACCCTACACTCTGTACTTTTTAATCACCTTATTGTGTGATTATTTAAAGTGTTTGGAAAGAATTTCAGCATCACAGGAGCTCCAAAGATCTCTCCTGAGGCAGAAAGCATGGCTCCAAGCCTCTGCCATGTGCACCTCTTCTGTGCTGCTGCATCTTTTGTCTAACTGGCTTCCTACTCATGGAGGACATGTAATATGCTCACTAATTATAATCATAAAAGCAAAAGCAAGATCTTCCCAGGTCCAGTCCGCTGTCACTGGTACAGGCCTGGCTTTTCCATTAAGCCCTTTGTGTATTCTCTCTGTCAGTATCTTGGAGAGCTTGCCGTCACGGTAACTTACTTTCTCATGACATTGTGGATTTGCTATAGATGTTTCCTGAAGTTGAATCTGCTTTCTGTGAACTACTCCTGGTTTTACCATTACCCATGTCAAATAACAAGAGTTACAATATTTAACATGTTTGTTATGTGATACTTTCAGAGCATAAAATCACTGAAGAACTCTTCATAATGCATCTCAACCTTGCAGTTCAGACTTCTCCTCACCTTTTGCTGTATTTATTCACAGTTCTGTTGCTAAATGTTCTGTAAGTTTCATATGTTACAGTCTGCTAATTACTAGAGATTTTTTTGGGCGAGTTAAAAGCATTTAGGAAAAATTCAATCCCAATGAAATTAAAACAGCAAAATTTAATTTGCAAAACTCATCCCTAAATTACCTTTAATCAAAGCCATCAAAATTTCATCTATTGTATTCAACGATACGCCTGAATGTACGCCTGCTCAGTTCTGAACAGGCATTTTCTGCTGCAAAAGCATATGACTACTGAAACGGAATCTTGGGTGTTTGTACAGCCAAACAGGAGGGCAAAAATTCCTCACAGTACTAAGATAAAAATACTGTATTTGACCCAACATGGTGAGAAATAAGTATCCTGAGGGCTTCTGCATGCACTGACATTACAATACTGCACTTTGTTTTAAGTCACTAAAATATCAACTTTACCCCGCTTATAAACGTTAAGTCTAAACATAATGCAAATGCCCTTCCAAAATAAAATAAAAAGCAGAATGAGTGGTCACAGATAGACATTACATGCATCAGTTCTGCCGATTTGGTTGGAGACAAAGAGAGTCCACTAATTCTTTAAATCTAGAGAATATGCAGAACCTATTATTTGTAAGAGGCTTTTCCAAACAGGTAATGCTGACATTGTAGAGATGCAGAGAGAACAACTGCATTAGGTTGTTCTAATGTTCAAGCCATTTCCAAAGCGCTTGAACTCAATCCCAGCTAAAATAAAACCCTCTCCCTTTGCCTTAGAGCACAACGTAGCTGAAAATGTTGGAATCAACTGTCATGATTTCCGTAACATACCACTACGCAAATGCTTTCTCAACATTTAGTTCTTCTACCAGTAAGCTTGGAGGAGGAGAGCTTGTACAGGCAAACTAGCTTAAAGTCTATTTTAGAAGTCCACATGAATGATTTATTATGTTACCTCTATTTGTTTTTCATCCCGCATTTCATAGTACTTACTTCAGAGTTTTAAGTCTTTTCTAAAGCACTCTGATGGGTATGCACAAGAGCTTGCAGGCTTATCTTTGGAGCCAAAATATTGCAGGCTTCAAGGTCAGTAAGCGCTTTGTCCAATTCAGAACAGGACATAATATAGTCGGACAGAGGACACAGTTAAGAATCACCCTGGTTTATTCCATTTCTCAAAACAACAAAAACACAGATAAAAACTACAAATAATAAAAAAGAAAAAGGTCTCTAGACATAACATGTGCTGCTAGCTATTCTGGCTTTTGAACATAGGTACTGTTTGCTATTAACTGGTCGTGTTTTCTGTTGGTTGGATTCCCCCTTCGTATTCAATATGAGGAAATAAAGTTTTAAACTGCATTTTCAAGTTTCCAAGATTTTTTTCAATAGGTGAGTACTCTCTCACTTATTATTTCTCTTGTTACCATAATTGTTAAGCCATCAAGTTAAATCATTTTAATAACAGGACTTATCCCTGTTCAAGGAACTTTTAGCATCTGATATACAATTGACAGTAGCAACTCTCTCAGAGCGTAAAACTCAGTCTAACAACTCGGAATTGGCCCCACAGCCAATGACACTGTGATTCTTCACCAACCGCCAGAGGAAATAATGTTAACTTTAAAACTGTATTTTCATTACAGAGTAATGGATCTGGGTAACAAGAAAACATCAGTCAGAAATCTGTTCAGCTTTAGAGAGAAAAGAAAATACTGGGTCCAGTTTGCCTCTCCCTGGGCCTCCTTAACAGCTAGTCTCACAACAGAAAGGTTTAAGAAAGTGCCAAAAGAACTCTAAGGATCAGCAGTGAAATGCTGAGCCTTCATCTACATTTGGTGCTTCCAAACCAGATGAATCACTATAACTGCCTAAAAGCACTGCAATCATCTCATCTCATAACTCAGCTCTTGATAAATACAGCATCAGTAGCCCCAACACCAACTCAATCTAGCTGGCACTGAGTCAGAATCAACAGAGGTCATATGCTGAAAACAGTATATACAGTATATACTTTAAAACAGTATATACCATCTCATTGGCATATAGTCTCTGTTCCAGAGGAATAAAAGACACCTCTGTATTAGATAACCTCCAATATTGTTGTTTATGCTACTTCTTTCATGCAGTTCAAGTCAGAGGAGAGCAGTAGTACCCTGACATTCAGCCCAGTAATTCTCCAGTTTAAGAAATAAATAGATTAAGACAATTCATCTTCAAACCAAAGACTACTCTATTAAGATGAAGTATTCTCAAAAGTTCCAGATGAAGTTCAGATGAAACTCTCCTGTTGCTTAACTTAAAAGAAGACAAACTAGACCACAAATAAAGTATCTTTTACACATTTTACATAGCAGGCTTATAATTAGCCAGCTTACCATTTGGCTAAAGAATACAAACAGCATTTCATGACCACATGAAATGGTCAATCACCCAGAGAAAAATAAATGTACGTACATTTATCTAAGAACTCTGGCACTGTACTGGTGAAATTGGGAACTTAAAGATATACAATTAAATCATTCTAATAGAGATAGTATAAAGTTCCATATGGTTCCTATTGCTGGTATTTCTATGCAGTAAAGTCCATTGATTGTGATTTAAGATCAGATTTTGTAACTGCATTAATTACCTGATTATATATTTGGTTCTACTTCACTGATGTTTAGAGCATCATTCTTAGATTATTTTGTGCAACAATACTGTTTTATAAACAGGCATCTCTACACATGGGCACAGGTCTTGGGGTCCTCTATGACCTCCTGTTAGTAAACACAGCATGATGTGTAAAAAAAGTAAATCACAAGAGACTGCTCAAAGATGGAATTACAGAAATTGTCAAGGCTCTGAAGTGAAACATCCAAGTTAAGAGGTGGAAAGCACTACATCAACTGTAACTCCCCTTTCTGGCATGTCTGAATTGGGCTGAGGCAGCCCAGAATGAAGGTCAGAGCCTTCTCCATATGCCTGGTAGAGTTCCAACTTAGGCTATTGAATCTGAGACTTGTTAATGTAAAGAGATTAATCAGCACTCTGGGAGTTGTGGTTCTGAGAGTGCCAGAGGCAAAGAGATTGGGAAATGAGAGGGTGGGACAAGAGGTAAACAAAATGAGAGGAGAGAAAAATGAAAACTGGAGCAAAAAGCAAGAGAGACAACAGGGACTGGGCAATAGTTCTGCAAGAAGAATTAAAAAAAAAAAATCTCAGATGAGTATTGCTTTGTTGCAGCACCACACTTCCAGCTGCAACAAAGCAATACTCATCTGCTTTTTTTCTCAAGTACTCTCTTTGTTCCCTTTCAAGCGTGATACTCCAGTTACAAGCTATGACATCCATTAGCTCAGAAAAATCAGGCTTGGGCACTTTTTTTTTTTTTTTTTTAAATGAGACTAGTATTATCACTGACCAGTGCAAGACTGTACAAAAGGTTAGAACATCCTTAAAGTGGAGAATGGGCTACTGTGCTGGCAAAAGTACAAACACCACAGTCCCTTGGATACAGGGTGCTTCGCAGCGCGTAACAGAAAGAAAATGGATGTGACTGACCCAGTACCATATCGATCCAAGCTGGTACATCCAGACAATCCAATTCAGGTGCAAAAGAAGCACAGTCCTATTAACAACTGCAATAAATCTGGTTCTGGTACTAAATGGCACATCACAGTGCTGCACTGTGGTTTTCTGTGCTTTTCTTCCATCTGTTCTTTTTCTGAAAATTGTATAAACTTAATTTTTAGGGGCTGGAAGAAGGGGCTTTTCTCATTAGTGCACAATGTGAAATCGATTCCTTGGGGCTCCAGAACAGCAGTCTGACAGCTGTCACAGCATTCTGATGATATGACTGCTGCGACTCACCTGAGAAAAGCTAGACTTCTTCAAGTAACGGTACAACGGTC